TAGAACATCATGTTCTATGTTGGTAAATTCAGGATGGCTGAAGGCAGCATCCAAAAGAAACAGCAAGAAGTCAGTAGAACAGCTCAGCTAAGGCACTGAAGCCAAGCACAGGAGTTTGGGCCTGGCCCTACAGGTGAATAAGACCCGTAGTGGGTGAGCAGGAGAGGCAGGGATATCTATTCAATAAATGTTAGCTCAATTTGAGCCCAGGCCTGTGCCAGCTAAGGCTGGGAACAGGAAATAACTTAGCTCTGGATCTCACATGGCCCCTCCTGTAGAATCAGAGCTGACACAGATGGAAAGACCTGGGGCAGATCTATTTGGAAAAACTTCCAGGTGAAGGGCACCTTGCTCTGGATTACACTCAGCCAGTTCTCCAAACTTTTCTACCTTCCTCTTCTGTTGCCCTTGCTGAACCCTCTGCCTGGTGTCCTTCCTCTGGCCCAGTCTACCTGGAGGCTCCTACAAAACCCTACTCCGCACACCATCGGAAAACCTCTATTAATCCTTTTTTTTAGGCTCATATCTTCTGAGTGTTCACTAAACCTTCACACCAACCCTGTAATGCACAGGTTATTCTGCCTGAAATTTTCTAGGGACCCCTTCAAGAGACACTGATTTAGGGAGATCCTCATCTTCTGAGGCAGGAGAGCATCACGGATAAGAAACGACACCCTCCAGCTGGACGGTCTGGATTCAAATCCCAGCTCTGCTGCTTCCCAACTGTGTGGTGTTGGAGAATTCTTGGGCTTCTCTATGCCTCAGAGTGTCTCCAACCACGAAAATAGGATATCACTGTATCCATTTTAGGGGGTTGGCATGATTCAGTATATTGATCCATGTCAATGCTGGCAGTTTAACATAGTGGTGATGGACCTGAAGACCATGGGGGATCTGAGAGATTTGGAGGGGGAAAGGAAAGCCATATCTGAACCTCAGCTGCAGGTGCCTACCCTTCCCTGCCCACCAAAGTAGATGGATTCTTCCGACATCCTCCCGGGAGAATTCTTTGGGAAGGGGGCGGGGTCAGCAGCCTGGGGGCCCCGCCCCCAGGTCGTGAATCCTGTCCTAGACAAGCTCCGGACTGCCTTCCATCCCTACCTACCGCATACCACCAACCTGTTCATGCTCTCCCATCAGGGACCGCGAAGCCAGTCCCCAGCTGTGACGCTGAAATTTGATCCTATGGGGGCACCATCGTATTTCCTAGGCGCGGAGGCCTAGGAAAGAGTCACAGAGAGGGGTGTGGCCGGCGTTTTAGCTCCGCCCTCCGCCGAGGGATCCGAAGGCCTATTTGGTGCCTTAGTAGCCGCGATGTCATTGGATGAAAGCCTGGAGCGGGGGCGGGATTCCAGGCTGCTTCTCGCTAGCCGATTACTCAATCCCTGGAGGGCGGGACGGGGGCTGCAGAGCTACGATCCGATTGGTTTCGGGCTCAGCTGGAGGCGGGACGAGTTCTTGGTGTGGGCGGGTCCCGACGCGAGGCTGCAGGCTGCCCGGGAGGTCCGCGGTCCGCGCCAGAGCGCGGGAGAGAGGTACGGAGTTCGGACGCTACGGCCCTGGAGACTGGTCCCAGCGCCTGCGGTCTCCGACTCCGGGGGCTCCGGGCAGAGGCCCGGGCTCCCGACAGTGGGGTCGGTGTCCTCGCATGAGGTTTGGGTTTTCCCAGGAGAGACGGGGCCTTCGGGAGAATATGGGAGAGGGTCTTCGTAGGATACGTCGGGTCCTGTTGGAGAGGAGGGGCCTTGGCTGTTAGAACTGGGTCCCCGGAGGGATACTTAGGGTGTCTCTGAAGACCTAGGGCTGCGGGCTTGAGCTGTTGGGACCGACATTTGAGGGTCTCAGAGGTGGCAGGAGTGTTGGGGTAGTCTAGGGAGCCTGGGATCTCGAGTGCTGACATTTGGTGAGTTGGGGTCCGGGTTGTCACGGGACTGCTTTGGGTCTTCCCACCCCCACTCCTGGGCTGCTTTCCCTGGATAGCTGTTGGATCGACTGTGACCCTGAGCCGCCTCACAGAGTTTAAGGCCACAGGGCAAAGGTAAAACCCTGAATCACTTGGTGCCTGTTCCCAGGGCAACAAGATGGAGGAAGGCGGGAACCCAGGAGGACTGATCAAGGTGGTCCATCTACTGGTCTTGTCAGGTGCCTGGGGCATGCAAATGTGGGTGACCTTCGCCTCAGGTAGGGACCCTCTTTGGGGCCATCATGGATACCCAGGGTGGGGATCAAAATGGGAGGGGAACCTGGAAGTGTCCTAATAGGCATGTGGTCCCCTACCTCACAGGCTTCCTGCTTTTCCGAACCCTTCCCCGACATACCTTCGGCCTCGTGCAGAGCAAACTCTTCCCTTTCTACTTTTACATCTCCATGGGCTGTGCCTTTATCAACCTCTGCATCTTGGCTCCACAGCGTGCCTGGGCTCAGCTTACATTCTGGGAGGCCAGCCAGGTACGCAGTCTTGAGTGCCACTATCTTCTGGAGACTAGTTTCCAAGATCCCAATGACCACCTATGATCATCCCTTTGAGGAAGAAAGAAATCATGCCCCTTCTTCCTGGTGGAGACAGAGTTGGGCATTGGCTATCCTTGAGCAGTGCACAGTCTACACAACTGTCCCCAGCAGTCCTGTCTGTCCTCCAGTATCTCTCTCTTGGCTGCTGCTCCCTCTCTTCCCCATGGCTGGCCTGTTGCCAAGCTGAGGTGACTCAGCTGTGCTGGGACTCTGACCCCAGCTCATTGTTTAAAAACCAGCCCAACTGGGGATTTAGGGTTCCCTACCCCATTCACACATGTCCCCAGCCATGAGGCAAGGGACCATCTCTGCATCTCAGATTTCTCTACCTTGTTCTCCCTCTGCCCACTATGTTTCTCAGATGTGGGCAGGTTAGGCCTGACAAGTGTGTCAGAATAATCTAGAGACAGAAGAGGATTATGGGTGACTAGAATTTCACAGATGTTTTAGTCACTTCCTGTGGATCCAAGTTGTGGAGTCTGGGCTGAGGCTAGAGGAGAGATGGGCTCCATGTTTTGGGATAATGAGGAGTCAGTCAGTTCTCTGTCCTAATTTTGGGAAGAGAGATCCTGCCCTTAGATAGCTATAGTTTGAGGGAACACAGAAGATGGGGAGACAAGCCCCTGCCCCAGGGACTTTCAGTCTGGGTGTCAGAGGAGAGAGGCTCAGGGGGAATAGAGGAGATGGAGCCACCCCCACGGCCTTTCCTTAGGGGCCGCCAGCTTCAGGTCCTCTTTCTGGGTTCAGGGAAGCGGGGGGCTGGCTTTGATTCAGTGCTGTCTTGATACCATTCTGGACTGTGAGGATGCAGAGGGCCCTCCCCAGAGCCCCTCCCACCCCCAGGCACCGCTTACCTTCTCTTCCCGCTGCGCTTGCCAGCTCTGCCTGCAGCTCCTGAGCCTCACCCTGGCTACCATCAATGCCCACTGGCTGGAGCCGCACACTACAGCTGCCATGTGGGCCCTGCAGATTGTGGAGAAGGAGCAGGGCCTAGGCGGGGAGGTGCCCGGCAGCCTCCAGGGCCCCGACCCCTACCGCCAGCTGCGGGAGAAGAACCCCAAGTACAGTGCTCTCCGCCGGAACTTCTTCCACTACCATGGCCTGTCCTCTCTTTGCAATCTGGGCTGTCTCCTGAGCAATGGGTTCTGCCTCGCTGGCCTTGCCCTGGGCCTCAGGAGCCTCTAATATGGACCCTGTATGTCAATAAATGCTTCTCTGGAGATGGCTTCTGTCGTTTTCTCGCCCTATGAGAAGCAGGGATGTGTGTGTGCAAGGGTAGCCCTGGTCCTGTTTCCCTATTCACAAGGCATGATTTGGAATGTTAGTTATACAGCCCCTGAGTCTTTCCACTAGTGAGACCCATTTATTGAGCACCAGCTGTATAGCAGGCATGGTGTTGACCATTGAACATACCATGTATTGTTGCAACAATAGCTGGTTCTGATCCCTAAGGGACAATTTCCTATCCCACTGACATTGGGAGTGACTGTGTGACTTGCTTTGGCCAATGGAATGTGAGCAGATGTGGCATGGATCTCTTCCAAGGAGAGGTGTTTCAAGACAGGACATAACATGCTACATTTTCCCTTTACCACTGCAACCATTGTGAGAACCAGTCATTGGCTATTGTGTGTTGTGAAGAGTTTGGTGCTGTTTGTTACTGAGCATATTCAAGCCCTTCCTAACTAATGCACTGCATCTCAATTCACCCATGTAGCACACATAAGAGGAAGCTACTGTTCTCCTGAGTCATGGATGTGCAGAATTTAGCCAGTTGCTTGAATGCCAACAAATCCTGAACTATTGTAACTACCCTCCTTCTGGCTTGAAGAAAACATGGCTCCTTTTTTAGATCTAAATGCCAATTTTATTTATTTATTTTATGTCAGATCTTACTGTGTGGGAGCTGGGGTTGTGGCTCAGTGGTAGAGTGCACGCCTTGCATGTATGAGGCACCGGGTTCAATCCTCAGCACCACATAAAAATAAAGGTATTGTTTCCATCTACAACTAAAAAAGATATTTTAAAAAAAGAAGAAAAAAAGATCTTACTGTGTGGCCTCAGGCAAAGAGCTGCCCCTCTCTGAGCCTTAGTTTCCTCATGGGTAAAAGGTAGTTTTAACTACAAGCGCCCACTTTAGGACCACGCACTGCCCTTTACCAACACTAACTCATCAGAATCCTCACACAACCCTGTGGGAGGGGCCACTTGAAGGATGGAGAAACTGAGGCCCAGAGAGGTTAAGAAGCGTGTCCAAAGTCACAAGACTAGAAAGTGTCGGCGCTCTTAACCGCGGTGCAGAGCCTGGGGACAGTCTACCTCCGTCCGGCTCCGCTCCCGAGGCTCGGGCCGGCCTCCCGCCCCTCCCACGGTGCCTACGAGCCCCGCCCCGGGGCGGCCCTGCCCACCCCGCCGCCTGGGCGGAGTCCGCGCGGGATCCGGGTGGCTGCGGGCGGCGGCGGCGGCGGCGGCGACTGCGGGGGCCCGGGTCGCGGCCGAGGCCCGGCCGCCGCGAGTTCGGAGAGTTCGGAGGCGGAACCCCGCGGGCAGCGCTCCGGGCGCGAGGTGATCCCTTCCCGGGGCGCGCACCCCGCTCCTCCCCTGCGCGTCCGGCAGGTCCGGGAGCCGGGGCTGGGGGGAGGGCAGGGGGCTGGGGGACAAAGGCGGGGCTGCAGGGGACGCCTCGTCTTCCCCCGCGCTCCGCAGGGCTCCTGCGGCAGCCGTAACGGGGCGCGGGCGGGGCCCAGAGCCCAGCTGGGGACTTGCGATGGGACCATATGGTGATGGGGGGAAGCAACGGCGCTCCTCTGCACCGGCTGGGGTGCCTGAAATACAGTGTAAGGGACAGATCCAGGCCCTCCGCTGGTGTCAGGCGTGAGGGAGGGTCGGCAGATGGTCAGGCAGAGGTGGGACCGGTGACCGGTGACCGACAGAGGCGGAGTGGGGCGGGGGCCCTAGGCTGGCAGCCCGGCCCAGCTTGCTCCTCTGCCCCTCCTCAAACTCGTTCTCCCGGAACACGGGGTGGGGCCCGGCTTGGTCCGCACTGAAAATGAACCGCAGCCTCCAAGGTGGTTGAGAAATAGCTTAACCCAGGCTCCCCGCGCCTGCGTGCCTCCCATTCATGCAGGCCTTCTTGTGCTGGGGAAACTGAGGCGGGGGAGGGAAGGAGGGTTGCAGGTGCAACCAGGACCTGGAGGACCCGTGGCAGACTGTGGGCCCATCAGGCTGCCTGGAGAGGAAGGAGCAAGGGAGCAGGTGGTGGTCCTGGAGGTAGGGTTTGCTATAATCATGTGGCTGGGATGACTGGGATTGGCGGACTCTCACACCTGCCTGGGTGGATTGGGGCTGAGGCTGGGGTGAGTCAGCCTTGGCCAGAGGCAGACAGGCTCAGCCCCTTTGACAAATAGAAAATGGCAGGTCCCCACTTGGGAGTAGAGCTGGGGCTTTAAATTCCTGATGTGTTCACAGAAAGCCCCCTCACCCCGGGAGTCAGGGAGACAGTGAATTGGGTTTGGGTGGTGAGTAGAACATGCACCCTAGTGGTGGACACCTGCCAAAGTCAACACCCAGGCCCTGCAGTGGGGGGTTGTCTGTCTTGCTGGCAGGCTCCCCCCTCCCAGCTAACACCTGGGCCTCCCAGCTGCTCACTCTGGGGCAAAGTCCACACCTGCAGCTTCTGCCCACGTCCTCAGGGGCCAGAGGAGGCACCCCCCCCATGCAGTGCGCGGTGTCTGAACCCTTAGCCAGGCCTAGGGGCCTCAAGACGGGAGCTCCCAAACCCACTGTAACAAAGGCTCAATTTTTTCCTTCGTATGAAGATTAAACAGCAATGGCATTTATTGAGCACCAACTGTATGCTGGGCACTGTTTTATAACCATTGGGTGTCTTAAGAGCCTCCCGCTGCATGTGGCAGCCTCCAGGGCGAGCTTCTCCCTCTTTGTCACAGCTGTGCCCTGGATAACAGGCCTAGTTCTACCCCCAGGCTGGGCAGAGGCCGTCTCAGTAAGTACTAAAGGACTCAAGAAACTCATTTTAGGCTCCTGATACCCACCCTTTCAGATAGGGCTATAACCAAACCCCATTTTTCAGAAAAGGATGATGAGGTGGAGTCAGAGGTGATGCCTCCGGGCTCTGGGCCTCCGACTGCACAGCTGGGCTCCAGCCAAGCCAGGTGGATGCACCGGAGCTGACATTGGTGTCTGATTCCCCTGTAGGACTCGCTTTCCCACCGAGGACTCCAGGCCTGGTCCCCAGCAGGCTCCTGCCAAGATGGCCTCAGCAGGAGACCCCCCGGCGGGCCCTCGGGACGCTGCAGACCAGAACTTTGACTACATGTTCAAGCTGCTGCTCATCGGCAACAGCAGCGTGGGCAAGACGTCCTTCCTGTTCCGGTATGCCGACGACTCCTTCACGCCCGCCTTCGTCAGCACCGTGGGCATCGACTTCAAGGTCAAGACCGTCTACCGCCACGACAAGAGGATCAAGCTGCAGATTTGGGTGAGCCAGGCAGTTCTGTGGGTCTGTGGCAAGGGGGACAGTCCCTTCAACGTTGTTCATTAGAGGGTTCCTCCGGGCAGGGAGAGTGGCCCAGAGTTGGTGAGGGAGGTGGTACCTCTGGGGTGTCGTTGTCAGGGTGAGGCTGGCCTGGGTGGCCTGCGGGGGGCCTGAGAGGGGAGATGGCACTCAGCCGGGCCTGTTTGAAGTGCTGGCGACAGTGAGGAAGTGGTTGGGAGCCCTCTGAGGGTCCAGCCAGGGAACCCTCACTGTCTTCAGAGCCAGGCCCTTGGCTGTTGGTCCAGCTGTTGGTCCAGATCATCGTGGTTTCAAGTGCACTGAGGTGTCCTGTCAGGATGACACCCCCTGACCCGGGTGGCTCTTGGAAATGAGGTCAAAGATGTCCTTAAGTCTATGAGAAGTAGATGACCCCTCAGACTGGGAACCCCTGCAGGGCAGGGCCAGGCATGGCTGAGGATGAGTTCATGTCTCCCCCATGATTGGGACTGTGAGGAGCACTGGGCAGCGTCCCCTTCCAACAGAGTCCTGCAAGGTTTGGGTGGGGACAGGGTGGCTTCTCGCCACCTGACGCTGCTGTTTGCTTAGGACACAGCCGGCCAGGAGCGCTACCGCACGATTACCACTGCCTACTACCGCGGCGCCATGGGTTTCCTGCTCATGTATGACATTTCCAACCAGGAGTCCTTTGCTGCCGTGCAGGACTGGTGAGTGCTGCTGACCGCTGACCCCTTGACCGTTGTCCTTTCCCTGCCATCCCTAAACCCAGCTCATGGCCTACCTCCACAGGGCCACGCAGATCAAGACCTACTCCTGGGACAATGCCCAGGTCATCCTTGTAGGGAACAAGTGTGACTTGGAGGATGAGCGTGTGGTGCCTACTGAGGACGGCCAGAGACTCGCGGATGATCTTGGTTAGTGCTCAGCCTGGGCCTTAGGCCCCGGGCCTCCCAGAACCCAACCTTCTTCCCACCCTCAGGTCCCAGATCTAACCACCACCACCAGCCCTTTGAGGATTTGCCCAGAAAATACCCATGGGTGTGCCACATTCTCCATGTAATTTGATTTCTGGAGCAATCCCTAGGAACTTCCATGCCCTGGCAACCCAGTTAATGGAGACTGGGATCCTAAAAAGGCAACTGACTTTTCCGTCTCTTTTGTGTTATATCAGGCATCAAACCCCACCGTCTGCTACCTGTCTTTGTGCCATCTGTGATCTGTGAATAGTTTTTAACTCTTTTTTTCCTTTCTGCTGGAGATGGAACCTAGGGCCTTGTGCATGCTAGGCAAGTGCTCTATGACTGGACTACATTCCCAGCCCCAGTTTTCATATTTTTAAATAGTTGTAACAAAGAGAGAGAGAGAGCAAGAGAGAGCGAGAGAGCTCAATAATATTTCATGACATGGGAAATTTACTATTTTTAGATATCTGTAAGATTTTGTTTTAACCTTTTTTTTAAAATAATTTTTTTAAAGAGAGAGAGAGAGAGAGAATTTTAACATTTATTTTTTAGTTATCAGCAGACACAACATCTTTGTTTGTATGTGGTGCTGAGGATCGAACCCGGGCCACATGCATGTCAGGCGAGCACGCTACAGCTTGAGCCACATTCCCAGCCCTGTTTTAACCTTTTAATTGACAAAATAATTATACATAATAATCGTAACACATATTGGGTACAGTGTGATAACAAAGTACGTGGATACAATGTGTAATGATTAAATCAGAATAATTATTGGTTCCAACTCTTACACTTTTTTTTTTTTTAGGGTTTGGAGCCTTTGAACGCCAGTCATCATAAATATATACTGTGAAATATATATGAAATTCAATTGTAATGTTTTAAAAAGTATTTTTAAGTATTTATTTTTTAGTTATAGGTGAACACAATATCTTTATTTCATTTTTATGTGGTGCTGAGGTTCAAACCCAGTGCCTCACGTGTGCTAGGCAAGCACTCTACCACTGAGCCACAATCCCAGGCCTCTCCACTTTTTTTTAATATTTATTTTTTAGTTGTAGTTGGACATAATACCTTTATTTATTTATTTTTATGTGGTGCTGAGGTTCAAACCCAGTGCCTCACGTGTGCTAGGCAAGCACTCTACCACTGAGCCACAATCCCAGGCCTCTCCACTTTTTTTTAATATTTATTTTTTAGTTGTAGTTGGACATAATACCTTTATTTATTTATTTTTATGTGGTGCTGAGGGTCAAATTCAGGGCCTTGCACGTGGAAGGCAAGCACTCTACCATTGAGCTACAACCCCAGCCCAAATTGCAATGTTTATAGGGGTTGGAGATGTGGCAAGGCCCAGGGTTTAATGCCCAACACTATTCATACACACAAAAAGGGAAAAGGGAAAGATTAAAGAAAAAAAAAAAAACTTGCTTTTATACTTGAAGCTTCCCCAGGACATAGCCATACTCATTCACTTATGTATTTTGTAGCATCTTGTCTTCTACAATGAATAGAGCTGTGTAATTGAGACAGAGTACATGGCCCAGTCAGCCTAAAATCTTTACTTTCTAGTCTTTTATCTCTCAACTATAATAGTCCTCTTTCCGTTTTCATTTTTTTTTTCTTTTGGTAGCAGGGATTGGATTTAAGGGCATTCAGCCACTGAGCCACATCCCAGCCCTATTTTGCATTTTATTTAGAGACAGGTTCTCACTGAATTGCTTAATGCTCACTTTTGCTGAGACTGGCTTTGAACTTGCGATCCTCCTGCCTTAGCCTCCGGAGCCGTGCGTCACCACGCCTGTTGAATTTGTTTTTAGTTCCTGGGGATCAAACCCAGGACTACACATAGATGACACCAGGCCCCTACCACTGAGCCACACCCTGAACCCTGAGCCAGTACTCAGGGACAGTTTGCTGAACAACAAAGCAGTGAATGGTGGAAGGAGGGTGTGAATGGAAGGAGGGTGTGAACTCTCTTACTCTGTGCCTCTTGATAGTCCAGCCACCACACTGTCCTCCTGGGCAAATGTGGTCTTTCTTACCCATGTGTGCCTCTGCCTCATACAATCTGCATTTTTTACATCTCTGAATATATTCACTACAGAAATTTACTAGAGAAACTAGAAATCACAAGAAAGTATCAAGACAGAACTAAAATTCATTTGCAGTCACATCACTTGAAAATCATTACTAATAGCATTTCTGATATTTAGCTTTGTGGTCTTTTTTCTATAGAAATACTCAAATGTTGGGATTGGGTTTGTGGGGAGCAGATATGTGCATGCCTTTTATCCCACAAAATTGGGATCAAGTTCTGTCCTCTACTTTGTATTCTAATATTTTAACCTAATGACAGGGCGTGGGCATCTCCCCTTGGCCCTAGTCTCCAGGTGATTTCTGCAAGCAGAAAAGTAATACCTGCAAGTACTCCACTCCCTGGGGGGGCATACCCAATTTCACCATTTCCAAGCAAGTGGGGCTCCAAGGCCCAGCCCCACAAAACAAAGACAGTTTCTCTGATAAATCAATGTAAAAATGACAAGGAAAGCTGGGCGCAGTGGCGCACCTGTAATCCTAGCGGCTCGGGAGACAGAGACAAGAAAATCGTGAGTTCAAAGCCAGCCTCAACAATGGCAAGGCGCTGGGGCTGGGGATGTGGCTCAAGCGGTAACGCGCTGGCCTGGCATGCGTGTGGCCCGGGTTCGATCCTCAGCACCACATACCAACAAAGATGTTGTGTCCGGTGAGAACTAAACAATAAATACTGAAGAATTCTCTCTCTTTCTCTCACTCTCTCTCACTCTTTCTTTAGGAAAAAAAAAAAAAAACAATGGCAAGGCGCTAAGTAACTCAGTGAGACCCCGTCTCTAAACAAAATACAAAATAGGGTTGGGTTGCTCAGTGGTCAAGTGCCCCTGAGTTCAATTCCTGGTACCCCCCAAAAAAGGGGGGTGCTGGAATGGATCTCAGTGGTAGAGCTCCCCTGGTTCAGTCCCCAGTACCACCACAAAAAAAATAGTGTGTTTGCTGGGGGTTGGATGTAGGGCTTTACACAGGCTGAGCTTTACCACTGAGCTGCACCCCTGACCCCCTCTTTTTTTTTTATAGTGCAGCTTGACACAGGGATTGAGGCCTCTCACCTGTGCTGTGTGTAATGTGATGGTAGGAACATTTTAATTTTGGGCCCACCATGACTAGTGGCAATTGGGGATACGTTGGAGGACCATTCAGGAACAGCTGCATGCAGGCAGTACCCTACAATGGCCTTCAAGACTTGCAGAGTTTTCAGGTTCATGGGTCACTTTTTTTTTTTTTTTTTTGGTACCTGGGGTTAAACTCAGGGGCCTCAACCACTGAGCCACATCCCCAACCCTATTTTGTATTTTATTTAGAGGCAGGGTCTCAACTGAGTTGCTTAGCGCCTCACCATTGCTGAGGCTGATTTCTTTTCTTTCTTTCTTTTTTTTTTTAATATTTATTTTTTAGTTTTTTCAGCGGACACAACATCTTTGTTGGTATGTGGTGCTGAGGATCGAACCCGGGCTGCACGCATGCCAGGCTAGCGAACTACCGCTTGAGCCACATCCCCAGCCCGCTGAGGCTGATTTCAAACTTGAGATCCTCCTGCCTCAGCCTCCTGAGCTGCTGGGATTACAGGCATATGCCACTGTGCCTGGCTTTTGTTTGTTTGTTTTGAGGTCAGGTTGCACTGTGTTGCCCAGGCTGGTCTTGAATTCCTAGGCACAAAGAATTCTCCCATCTCAGCCTCCAAGTAGCTGGGACTGCATATACACCAGTGCGCTCAGTGTTGGTGAGGTACTTTTTGCAGTTGGGCATGTCCCCAGAGCATGTATGCTACCCTGCACCTTTGGGAAGACAAACTTTTCTTTCTTTCTTTTGTTTGTGGGAATTGAACCCAGGGCCTCACCCACGCTAGGCAAGTTCTCAATCACTGAGCTACATCCCCAGCCTTTTTTATTTTATTTTGAGACAGAGAGGTACTAGGTTGCCCAGTGTGGACTTGAACTTGAAATCCTGCTTTAGCTTCCCAAGTGGCTGGGATTACAGGCATCCAGCTCTTGGCTCCATTTTCAAATAAATATGTGGCTTGGCAGGCCTCTTCGGGCAGCAGAAATTGAGTTGAAGCTGAGCTGTAGCCACCTGTGGACACCCCATGGCTACTGGACATTATTTTCTGGACTGTTGCAGCCACTGCCTTGTGACAAAGAGATTCTTAGGATTGTCCAATTCAGGGCTGCTGCTGCAGAGTTTTATTATCATTACCAGTAGCAGCAGCAGTAGCAACATCATTTTTTTCATTTTACAAATGATCAAACATAGTGTCAGAGAGGCTAAGACACTCAGCCAAGGTCCCACAGCAGAATAAAGGGCAGAACTGGGCTTAGAGCCCAGGCATGCGGGATGCCACAGCCCAGTCCTGCTCCTGGGAGTCTCACGGGTGTCTCCACCTTATATCCATCCAGGTTTCGAGTTCTTTGAGGCCAGTGCCAAGGAGAACATCAATGTGAAGCAGGTCTTCGAGCGCCTGGTGGATGTCATCTGTGAGAAGATGAACGAGTCCCTGGAACCCAGCTCCAGCCCAGGCAGCAATGGCAAAGGCCCCACCGTGGGGGACACCCCAGCTCCCCAGCCCAGCAGCTGCAGCTGTTAGGGATGGCTCTTGACCCCCTCCTGCCCCCTCCTGCCTCTGCAGGGGCTGTGACTGAGGCACGAGCCACAAGGGCTGTCTCCAAGCTCAGGGCACCCCCATCCCTGCATGGCTCAGTCCCTTTCCATGTCACCATGGTTAGGCAGCCCCTGTCAGAGGCCGCACACCCCAGGGGCTCAGCTCCACATTTCAGGCAGGGGCTTGGGGACATTGCCGTGCACTTGTTGGCTGCTTTCCCAGACATTTTGACAGGGGGCTGTGGGCGGGCAGCATGTCCCGCATGCCTGGGGGAGGGGCATCCACAGTGCCTTCGACCGTGGACCCGTGCCCCGTGCCACCCTGTGCTGGCATGGCCTGGTGCTTACAGGCTGGAGGAAGATGTCTTGCGGCGTGGGTTCTCCAAGTTAATCCTGGGAGGTGTTGGGGGAGACCCTCTTTCTCAGGTCCCCCAGCTTGGCTTTGAGCCTATCCCATGAATCTTCTAGATGCCAAGGTTCCAAGATGGGGCAGCGATTTGGCCCCTATACACTTCTCCCTCTGGCTTGCAGACCGTCCCCTGGTGAAAACAGTGTGAAGGCCCACAGAAGAGACAGTGGGTCAGACCCCCCACCCCCGAGGGACTCTTAAAGTGCTTTCTGAGCTTCCCTGGGACCCATGTCACTCTTGACCCGGTCACTGTCTTGACTGATCCACTTCATCTCTGATCCTGAATTGAATTCTAGAACATTCTAGCTACACTGGGTAGGGCCAAGAATTGCCCAACTCTTAACATTCCTGCTTGGGGCTTTCTGCCAGGAATTAACCTCAGAGCCAGGAGACTGGGCCCTCCCTCTGGGGCCCCATCCGCCTGGTTGTATTTTCAGCAAGATCTTTCCAAATCTTACATCCTGCTAGAAAAGGAAATTGGGCAACGATCCCACAGCCTGCGCTTGCCGGTGACTTCCTGATGTCAGGTTTGGGCGTCTCCAACTTTTGAAGACCCAGAGTCTTGTTCCCAGGCCATGTCCTCAGGGTCCCAGTGACATGACATTTGTGCCAGTGGAGGAGTCCTGGGTAAAGGGTGCTTTGGGGTCAGGAAGGAGAATTGGGAAGTTGGGTTGCACCAGCTTCTGTCATTGCCTCCACTTGTGGACACAGCTGGGGACTGGCAGGTCCTCATGTTGGTGGGGGGATGTGCTGTGATCAGTGTCAGGGAGCCCACGGAGCCAGGACCCCTCCTTGGAGGGTGGATGCCAATCGAGGATCTATCTTGATCCTGGAGCCCAGAGGCTCTTGCTACCCACTGGGGTCCACGCTTGCCTGGCATGGCACCCCTCGCCGCTCCAAACCCCCACTGTCCGCAGCCCGCACCGACACTGTGAGGAAGCCTAAGTGGATTCTTGGGGTCCCCATCACCCTGGTTCCATGTCAAGGCTGTGTCCACTGCCCAAGCCCATGTAGCCAGAATGATTTCCTGTAGTTTTAATAAGCTCTACCTCCGCCCTGGGTATATGTGTGGGAAAACCTGGTTCAAGTTCAAATTAAATGACCAAATAGAAATGGACAAATCTTACCAACCCACAAAGGAGGGTATCTGAATGTTGGAGGTGGGAGTCCACTTTTTCTCGCTGCTTGAATACCAAAGTCGAAGCATCTCAGAAAGCTCTGAAGATGCTCCAGGCTCATCAGGATTTTGCTGGCCGGTCCATTCTTCTTAAGCTGCTGCCCCAAAATGATGGACCAGTGGACCATTGGTCGAGGACCGAGTTTCTCATCACCCACGTGATAAAGCAGCTGTGGCCGCATCTTGAACTTGACCTGAAATTTTCTGTTTACGTTGGATTTTTCAAAAGTTCAGTTTCAAGTAGCAACAGAGAGGGCTGCCTCGGGGTTCTCTCAAAACTCGGGGAATAATGTAGGAAACATTTTTTGGTTTCTCCTAAAACTGGGACCGATTTTAAGTTTTATGACAGCAGGGAGGTTTAGCTCCAAATGATCACAAGGGAACTGAGACCAATGTCCTCCTGGTCACTGAGTGGGAAAGAGGTCTGTTGGGTTTATAAACAGAAATTAAACCAAAGGCCGTGGGAAAACCACATCTCAACTCCAGAGGACTGAGGTCAGAGAGCTCCCCACGAGTGCCTTGCTATTCCCTATTGGTAGTGTGTCTTTCCACGGGCAGTTTCCGTGGGAGGTTCTATTTTTCTTTTCCTTTTGCTTCTCCAGGGATCACCTTCTTGCATATTCCTTAACTCCTCCGCCTAGACTCATACAGGGTGAAACTTGATCTCAGTATTAAAGCGATAATTCTGCTACCGGCTCCTCCCTGACAGCTCTGAAACACTACTGAATGAACTCTTGGCAGGTCGTTTGTATCCTGAATGTGGTTCTGTGTAAGTGATTCCTTGGTGTCCAACTGGGAAATATATGCACTTTTCTCCACATGAAATAAAGTAGTTGTGCCTAAATGCATTTGTGCTTTTGCTTCTATTAGTGAAATGCAACTTCCAGGAAAGGGTGGACGGTCAGTTGAAGGTCGTTGGTGATGCAGCAGAGCCCTCAGCAGGCCTGGGGCTGCCTCTTGTGATGCCCTATAACGAACAATTTGGTTCTAGAAAGTTCCACCTTGTGGAAAGCAGGAAGGGTGATATTTCTCCACTTAATCCTACTAAGTCTGTCCTTCCCACAGTAGCCACAGGTGACTCTGAACATTTGAGTCAGAGTATGTCCATCCTCTGGCTCAGAACTATCTATGGCTCCTACCTTATTTGGGGAAAATGCCAAAGCCCTCCCCCTGTGGTCCACAAGGCCCTGCATGATCTGACTCATGATCCCACTTACTTCCCTGTAGTTGCCCCCATGGCAGCCATGTTGGCCTATTTGTTTTTATTCAAATATACTGGGCCCATACCTCAGGGCCTTTGCACTGGCTCTTCTGTCTTCCTGGTCCACTCTCATCCTAGATTGTCTTACATGATTCCCCTCCTCTCCTCCTTTAGTTCTTTGTACAAGTCCCACTTTCTCATTAACACCTCTGTTTAGTCCTACAGCCTCTCTCCAGCGTCTCCCCCCACTTTCTCCTTGAACTTAACACCTTGATCATGCTAAGTACATGCTCTACCCCTGAGCTCCATCCCGAGTCCCTCCCCGGTATTTCTGATGTCCCTTCCTCTGTACTTGATATCCCTCCAGAACCCCTAAAACCTGAACTACTATACGATTTACTAGTTTAAATGCCTCCCTCACAGCTCAGTTTTGTCCTTTTCCCTGCCACGTTTCACTCTGTTTCTGACTGTGATAAAGTAAAAAATAAATATTTGATCTTTGTCTCCACTGGTTCCTACAAACGCTTCTAAAACCCTTAGAAACTCTGGAGAGAGAAGAATATCTTTTGTACACCAAGGAAGCGACTGGTGAGGGGGACCCCAGGAAGCTGCAGGGTGGGGCTGGGTTTTGAGAAAGACCAAGGCAGATTTAAGGGGTTACTCGTGGTCCCACCCTTCAGCTCCCGGCTCACCTTGGGGGAGGGCAGAGAAGCTGAAAGTTGAGTTGGTCACCAATGGCCAACACCAGCCCCTAAAGGATGGGGTCCCCAGGGTTGGGGGTTAGCGAACACACTGAGACGGGGAGCCCAGCACACCACCCACCGCATCCCTGACTCGGTCTGATCCTTCACCAGTGGCCAGTAAAGAAGGTAAAGCACCTGGTCATTTACTTAGAGAACCAGTGAGTCACTGTAGCAAATTATTGACCTTAAAGAGGGAAGATTGCAGAAACCCTCAGGCTTTATAGCCAAGGATGATGGCCACGTGGGTAACCAGGGCTGGGTGTGTCCCCCAGAATACACGTGTAAGAAACTTCATCCAAAGGCATTTGTTAGCGGTACTGGGAGGATCTGGGGTGGTCATGAGGGTTAGATGAGGTCCCCTGAGAGTAGGGACACCCCTAACGACATTGTGGCTTTATTAAATGAGGAAGAAGGCCCGAACTAGCACGAGTGCCATCTCACCTTGTGATGCCCTGCGTCACTTTAGAACTCCGCACCAGAGTGCCCGCCTGCAGGAAGGACTCACTGGATGTGGCACTGGATCTTGACCTTCCTAGCATTCAGAATCATGAGTTGAATTGAACTTTTTTTTTTTTTTTTCTACCAGGGATTGAACCCAGGGGCACTTTGCCACCAAGCCACATCCCCAGCTCCTGCTCCCCTTTTTAAATTTTTTTTTCAGTTGTAGATGGACACAGTATCTTTATTTTATTTATCTTTATGTGGTGCTGAGGATCGAACCCAGTGCCTCACACCTGCCAGACAAGCACTCTACCACTGAGCCGCAACCCCAGCCCCTCCCAGCCCTCTTTTACACATTTTATTTACAGACAGGGTCTCATTGAGTTATTAGGGCCTCACTAAGTTGCTGAGGCTGGCTTTGAACTCACAATCCTCCTGCCTCAGCCTCCCAAGTGGTAGGGATGACAGGTGTGCACTGTGCCCAGCCTATTTATTTATTTATTTTTTAAATTTGGAAATAGGGTCTCGCTGAGTTGCTGAGGGTCTTGCAAAGTTGCTGAGGCTGGCCTTGATCCTCCTGCCTCAGCCTCCCAAGTGGTAGGGATGACAGGTGTGCACTGTGCCCAGCCTATTTATTTATTTATTTTTTAAATTTGGAAATAGGGTCTCGCTGAGTTGCTGAGGGTCTTGCAAAGTTGCTGAGGCTGGCCTTGATCCTCCTGCCTCAGCCTCCTGAGTGGCTGGGATTACAGGCATGTGCCACCCTGCCTGGCTCCCAATAAACTTTCCTTTTGTATATAAAACTCCTCCGTCTGTGATATTGTTACAACAATAACAACAAAAATGGAAAAGGAGACCCCGGAATTCAAGCGAGGGCAGTTTTGTGGGACTGAGCCCTTAAAGTGAAAGGACCCCTTTTGAAATTAAAAGCAACTTCCTGATAAATGGTTTTATTTCTTGAGCTAAGAGCAGGCGCCAAGGAAATCAAGACCGACATTTCTCCAGCTAAGCACAGCCGAGTTAGATCCGCGCATCACATGCCCTGCCTTTGCGGCATTGGTGCCTCCTCTTCTCTTATAAAAGCTTCTGTCCCCCGAGTCCCCAGAGATGGAGATTTAAGACAGGAGGATCTCTATCTCCCTCAACTCCGACTTTGAATAAACCGATTTTCCCCATCAGCCTGGCTCTGTGTTTCTGTGGAGTGTGACAGGAGGCAAAGCCAGATGCCCCCAAGCGCAAAACTGCACAGTCTCACACTAACTCCAGGTAATGTGGGTCAGGACCAAATTGAACGGCAGGACACCCGGATGGTGTCGGTGGAGAACTGGAGAAGTGCTCTGTGTGGGGAACCCCCATGTGTGTTCTGAGTGTTGGGAGGGGGCTGGGTCGTGGCTCAGTGGTTAAGCGCTTGCCAAGCACGTGGGAGGCACTGGGTTTGGTCCTCAGCACCACGTAAAAGTGAATAAAGTAAAGGAACTGTATCCATATTATATATACATTTATGTGTGTGTGTGTGTGTGTGTGTGTGTAAGAAGATAAATAAATACAAATTTTATATATACATACATATATTTATTTATGTACTCAAAAAAGGAGTGTTGTGAGTGAGGTTTCTGACATAGAGCAGGACACTCGATGATGTTGGTTGAGTGGGGGGCATGACTGCAGACCCCAAAAGAGAGACTAAGGCCAGGAGCTCCACAGCCTGTCGCAGGATTCTCTGCTCTCTGTGCCTTTCCTCTGCATCCCTGACTCCCACCAAGTGGTGCCCTTGAACAAGGGGCAGTTGCCCAAAGCCCCCCCCTAGGCCTGAACCAATGACTGTGCCGGGAGGGGGAATGAGCTGATTGGCTGGCGGGGTCACATGCCAGCCCCTGGCTCAGGCACTGACAGTCTGAGACCAGCGGCTTCAAAGAAAAATAGATGTGTACTTGGCCGAAGTGGGAGGTTGATTGCCACGGTAGCAAATGTGACCCGCCCATTCTACCTTCCTCTGATCCTTCCAAAATAAAGACGGGAGCCTAGCGATGGCACACACCTGTAATCCCTGCAACTCAAGAGGCTGAGACAGAAGGGTTATGAGGTCAAAGCCAGCCTCAGCAATTTAGCAAGGCTCTAAGCAACTCAGTGAGACCCTGTGTCTCAATAAAATATAAAAAGGGCTGGGCAGGGGCTGGGGTGGCAGCTCAGTGTTCGAGCACCTGCCTCACACATGCGGGGCACTGGGTTCAATCCTTAGGACCACATAAAAATAAAATAAAGATTACTTCCATCTACAACTAAAATAATATTTAAAAGGGGGTGGGGGTGGGGATGTGGCTCAGTGGTTGAGCGCCCATGGATTCAATCCCTTCAGAATTTGCTAAGTCTCCATTGTGCAATCCCTAACGAATAATTCAGTCTCCTGTGGTCACTGGATGACACCTTTGGGTTCATTGATTCTCAGCAGTGACCATGGGCGCCTTAACATCTCCTGGGTACCCCATGACCAGGCCACATCCCTGTCCAATTGAATGAGAAGAGGCTGGGGGTGGTGCTCAGTGGTACAGCACCTGCCAAGCATGTGCAAGGCCCTAGGTTCGATCCTCAGCAGGGCAAAAAGAGAGGAGGAGGGAAGAGGAGGAGGAAGAGGAGGAACCTAGAGCAGAGGTTCTCAAACTGGTTTTTTCCAGACCAGTAGTGTCCTGTGAAGAACTTTCTAGAAATGCAGATTCTTGGCCCTCTCCCAGATCCCCTGAGTCAGAAGGTACCCAGCTTTTACAAGCCATCCAGAAGAGTCTAATGCATGCCCCAATTTGAGGATTGCTGGGCTAGAACAAAAGGGACCCCAGAGACGTGACAATCAAACCGACATGTGGAGCTTGTTTGGATCTTGATTCAAAGACACTCAGTATAAAAAGACATTTTTAAGCTAATCAGGAAAATTCGATGATGGCCCAGGTATTAAGTGATTCCAAGGAATTGTCGTAGGTGTGATAATGGCATTCTGGTTGTGAACACAAATGAATATATTTTTAGAGGTATCTACTGAAGGATGAAGGGGAAAATGACATTGCCTGGGATTTGTTTTAAAATAACCCATCAAAACGTCTCACCACAAAAATAGAGTTTGTAAGCGAGGTGGCGGGATATGACTTAATCATTCCACATCGTATACACGTTACTGAGCCCAAGTTCCGAGGCTCCTCCCAAGAACAACCAGCGTCCAGGAGAGGAGAGCTGGGGACAAAGAAAGGCCTTATTCAGTGGCCACACCATGAAGAAGAGGGGGCTTTGCTCTCCACCCTGAAGGGCCCGGGGGTCCAGATCAGGGAAAGGAAGAGGAGGGAGAGGGACAGGCTAATGAGGGGGAGGAATATTCGTGTCTCTTCTGGGAAGGGGCAGAGATCTTCCAGGAACTCGGGTGCCACCTCTTTTCACTCCT